TTTTCTGGGGACCAGTAAAGTCGTTCCCTGGCAGCCGCCAGTTAATTATGTGGCGGCTGCCAGATAACATATTTTTCTACTTGGCACCTACCGGCTTCCGTATATTTACATGAAGGTTTTCAAAATAGAATATACCTTGCACCTGAGTCTTTAAGAATTCTTGCCCATTGATCAGCATCAAAAAACTCTGCCCGGAAGTTTGGAGCGAAGTCTGCATATTGAAAATTGGGCGGGTAGTATTTCTTCATGAAGTTAACAAATTCGGGTTGTTTTTCTCGCTGCCAGTAATACCAAAACCACACCATGTTTCCAGGCACGCTGTACACGCCCCAGTGAAGAAATATCCCGATTTTGGCATCATCATACCATTCGGGATTTTTTCTCTTGTCAAGAGACTCCCAGTTTGGTTCGTAGCAGAAAACGTTCAAGAAGAGAAAACAAAATAAATACACATAAACAACAAGGAAACAGTTTTTCGCCATTACTGATTACACCCGACGGGTTAGGGTACTAGAGATGTCGGACTATAACAGAGTCGGACTATTACAAAGTCGGACTATTACGGACTCGGCCTATTGCAGACTCGGCCTATGCATTTATAACAGTAATTACTAATAACACTTTGCAAAGTAAATTAAAAGAATTATGTTCATTTTATCTTTCATGTATAAAGCGACGGGTTATCGTTCGCTAACTCGGTATGGAAACGTATTAGTGCCAGGTGAGACATTTTTTTAAGTAGCGGGCTAATTCTAACTTTAAAGTTAGTTTAGGAAAAAACACATTCAATAGTGACCGTTAATATTGTTTTAGCCATTGCTCTAAAAAATGAAAACATTTTTATTTATTTTTTTTTAATTTTGTTAGTTTCCGGAAATTAACCATACTTTGATTGACTATTACATCACAATGAACTTGAAAGCTCATATCTGATTGGTCAAGTATGTAAGTCAACTTAACGTTCATTAGTCCGAAAATCCCGTCTACATCGCCGCCATTTTCAAAACAAAGTTGAGTTACAGTATATTTTTATAATTTTATTCTAAAATTAAAGTTTGATTAAGTAGGTATGCCTTCAGCAGGAGACGAAAATGTATTCAGGTAGGTGTTACACAGAAAATGCGTTTTTTTCCGGGTTTCTGTAGTTCTAATTAAGGGATTGCCGCTTAAATTTATCATCAAATGATAAACATGATAAATACAAGCTCGGGTGCTAAAATGTAGTTGAAATTTAGTAACATTACTTAGGTTGGAGTTACAGAGGTCTGGTGCAATCACTAGATTTAGATACGTAGCTTGATTTACCTACTTAGCTTTATTTACCTACCTGAGGTAGCTTTATTTAGCTACCAAATCAATTAATTTCAATAAAAAATCATTTTTCTCAGGGTGTGCAGAAAATATCATTTTGATGCAGTGATCATTTTCAACTTTGAACTCATCTGAAAACAATTCATGAAAAAATCCCTCTTAAAGAAATGTCCTTTTCTGCGCAATTGCAATCAAAGTTCTGAAAGTTTTGGGGCTATGTATGACAGTAAGAACAGTTACTCCTTGAATGAAATGACAAAGAAGACCAGTTCCGGTTAACACAATAATAGGTTGGTAATTATTCAACACAATGTGAAGTAATCATACTCAGCCATGCCTCAGCACACGCATGAAAGAGGACAGTTAACCAAACAATGGAATTACATGTTTTGCTCCAAATTGTCCAAACACAGCAATGTAAAAACTATCTCTGCTTTGGATTTTTTTTTAAAACCTCCTTAGTATAAATATTAATAGTCATTAATTTTAATTGCGATTTTTTTTTGTCTCTTTTTAATAAAAAGAAAAATTTTGAAAAGTTACATTGAAATAGCTAAATAAAGCTACCTGAGGTAGGTAAATAAAGCTACGTAGCTAATTCTACCTACGTAGCTAAATCTAGTGATTGTACTGGACCTGTTACAGACATTGGCTTGCAGCAAAAAAAAAAAAAAAAAAAAATCATTGAAAATCTAAGAAATGTCTTTGAATTAGAAGAAGAAAATTCTGTATGAACCATGAACTAGCCAAGAAATCTATGGAGAGAACAATGTATTAAACAACAGCAGGGTTCTCCACCACAAGTTTTCTATAGCGGTCTACCATGGCATGTGTGACATGCTTACGCCATAGGCGCTTGGTGTCAGGATGGGGAATTTTGTGTATTACGTTTTTTCTCAGCTGTTTTTATGTTACTACACATTGGTGGGTAGTGTGAAGATCTATTTTCTGTTAAAAAATGATTGAACACCTTTCTCTTGTCACAGGGGCTGGTCACGCCTTATTTGTCTTCTTTAAATTTGACCACCCCTATATAGAAGAAGACAAAAAGTTATCACCAAACCCTATGATTTTTAAAAAAGAGTAACACTTAAAACGCATCACAAATTACAATGACCATGGCGCCCTGTTTTACAAAAAAACTTATGACTTACACCAAAGAAGATGGGGGAACAAGGCGGGCAGAATGCCTATAGCGTCCGATATTAAGAAATCATATTCAGTATGTGAATTGAGTATTTCAATTATTTTCTTATTATTGAAATTTTTGAAATTATGAGAAAAAAGCTTTTCTGAAAGAAAAAAATCACGTTAAAAAAAATTTCTTTCATAGAATTTATAGATGGTATTCGTGGGATTTGAATCCTAGCAATAAAAATCCAGTGTATCAATAGCATACTGCTTGGAGACTAATGCGTTAACCACTATGCTAGATCACTCATGGTGATTTGGGGCATTTAAATCATGTTTTTGATATGACCCGCGTTTTAATGGACTTGAAGTATTTCTCAGAAAGATGCGAATGTTGTGTCATAAAAGTGTACTTTTAAGGTTTAGTGTGTCTTCACTCTGTGTTTTTGTAAACCAAAAAATGTGTATTTTATTGCAAACTTTTAGGATCATTTTTCAAAAAAAATGGAGCGAAGACCCACTCCATATTGAAAATTTGTGTTATAATTAAAATTCCTAGATTTTACAATTGGAAAATTTTTTTTGGTTTTTATAGTTATATAGTCAATAGTTCTTTTGTAAAACTGGCCCATAGCCTTTGGGAAAAAGTTTCATGTAGCGGTAAGGGATAGTAATTTTTTTTTTTTTTTAATTAACTCTGTTTAGATAGAAAGGAATACTCTTTTTAATCTTTAAAAAGTAAACTAAATTGATATCTTAATGTGGAGAAAACTTCACACATTTACAACAAAAAATGCATACTGGGTATTTAAATTAATTTAAAAATTGGATTCCAACATAAAAATGCATTTCAAAGTAATGTAAAATTGGGTCATATTTGGTTTAAACTCCGGAAACTTGTGAATTTCTTCAAACTTGTGTTTTCTTCATACCACATCCATCACATGGTATAATTTATGTCAAACTCAAGGATTAGGTTATAGAAGTCTTGTTTAGGCAGCCATACTGGTTTTGAAATTTTCTGCAGTAAATTTAAAAATTCATTTTTCCTAATTTTTTTTTTTTTTTTTTTTTTTTTTTTTTTTACATTTAAACATGACTTGTCTGAATTACTCTTCTTACAATTTCAAAATTCTAGCTCAATAGCTTTCACAACTTATTCTAGGTACATGTACTTCATTCTGAGGTATACCTCATGAAAAAGAGTCTTGTCTTTTCAGAAAGCATAAAAACTTCAGACTGGCATCTACTTTGGTGCAATCTGATTAAATGTATGTTTTAATGATTGTTTGAGTTGGTACTTATTTTTTCCAGATTGAAAATGGTTGATATTAATCATGCTAATTTGGCATATAACTTTGTTGTTGATGAAATAATGTTATGTTTAATGTGAATTTAAATATTCTGAACCTTTGTTTTCTTTCTAGACTTCCAGAAGTTAAAGATGAGAAAAAATCAAGACGTCATTCAATCATAGGTTTAGGTTTTGACATTCCAAAACTGGTAAACTTTACATATACATGTGTTCATATTCACTGAGACTGAGTCTAGTTAGTTGTCTCAGTTATGAACTCGGTCTCAATTTGTCTCAGTTACTGGACTTTTGAGCTTGAATACTGATCTCCTCATATTTCATTATTTGTGTAACTTAATTGTGTCATTATTTATTTTATTGCTTGCAGGGAAAACGAAAAAGAAAACAAGCAGATGAAGACAGTATTAGCATTCAGAGTTATGACACAAGTAAAGCTAAGGTTGGTTCCAATCCTTAAGTTTAACGAAGCAGTTTTTGTCCCAGCTGTATGATCCTGCTAGGGTTTGCCCTACTCGCCTAGTCCCAGTGGCCATGATTAGTTGATTATTGAAAATACAACCTAGATTAAAATGCTAACAAGTATAAAAACTGCTGCACCAGTGCTTTTATGCTTTTGGTTGTTATTTTAATCTATCAACCTTCCAGTGATAGATTTTCAAATATTAGCATGATCAGCAGTTATCATTTTTTCACCAAAAAAAAAAAGTAACACTTCTTTTTTTCAAAACGTACATGTTAGAAAGAGGACAATTCTATGCACTAGGGGTATTATTATTATTGTTTTAAACACCCGCTGTCATTTTTATCAGGAGGCTAGTAGTATTGTAAATATGAAAATTAGGAAGCTTTTCTTAACATGCTTATTGTCTGATAAATTTTAACTGAAAATATTCAGTTGAAATTCTTATCTACCTGGAGTGGAACATTCACTTTTTACCTGGCCCTGTTTGTTTAAGGATTTTTCATTGATATCATGGGGGCCTTGGAGAGAACTGTTTATCAGTAAGAGGGACCCTTTCATCTTGGGACTGGTCTACACTGGGTGTTCAGACTTACCTGAGTCAGAAAAACCTGAACTAATCAGGAAATTTTATTTCCTATTTAACCTGGATATTTTTATGTGTTTTCCTTAAAAAAAAAGATAAAAAATTTGATAGATTGATGTTCAATACTTCATTCCTTCTTGTCAGACAGAAAATTGTATACTGAAATTAATTTAGAACTGAAAGTTTGGATTTAACTACAGTCAGCACTGAAATTCATTGTACACCAGTGTGAACACAGTTCAATGTTACAAAGTTTCTGTTCCAAGTATGTGAAAGGGATTTAAACATTGTGAGTCACAGAGCATTTACCAGAATAAACATGTAATGTGTTGGGTCAGATGGAGGTGTTGAACGAGGCGACATGTTCTTGTGTCATAGAACTAGAGACCTTGTTCATGCAGACCTTATACACACCACAACAGAAGGTAATGTCTGGCTTGTAGAAGTTCATTCCTACATCACAGGAAAAACCTCAATCCACACCTTTACTGATCTTGGTTGACACAGTGTGAATAATTAAACACGAAGTTTAGTCTGACTCTGGATACATTTCAGGAGGCCACATTAATAAGTAGTGTCCCAGGGTCTATTCGAATCAGTAAAGGCCTTCTCTGGGCTTCCTCGTGTTTTCCTCACAGTCCATTTCTAATTAATTATAAGTATTAGTTTGAACAAGTTTAGCCGAGGACAACCAAGCCTCAAATCTAATCTAAAGTCTAATAAACATTACACTCTGAAGTAATGTCAGGCCTTTCAAAATCTGCCTGTACCCAGTAGATCATCAAGTTATTTAGCATGCTGCTTGCAATTTTTAATTGGTTGGGAATTTATTGCAAAAAGTGAATGAAATATCCATTTGCAGCATACCACTAGCCTAACTCTGAAATAGATAAGGCCCAGGCATTAGGTGATCCTAATTGCACATACCCCTAACACTGTTAATGAACATGATGAATGAAAGTAGTCAAATTTTCATTCTTTGGAGAAGGAAGTCCTTTAATGTTATCATGCTGAATAACTGCAAACAATTGGGAAGGTCTGCTTGGATTAGAATTTGTCTCTATCATGTCCATCACCTGTAATTTACAGGTGTGATCAAACGTAGGAAGCTAAATAGTTTCCTCACTAGATCAGGTTGTAAAGTACCTGATAAAGATTTCTTGTTTCCATCTGTACAAATTTCTTACAAACAAGCACATATTAAGCTTGATAAAACTGGTATAATCATGGTATAGCGATGGAAGTTTCATTCTGAAGTTGAAGATTTAGGGTAATGATTGATTGTCATTACTGTCTATTTCATTTACCGTACATTAATAAAGAAATTTTGCGAATCATATTTTATGATATTTTTAAATGTTTTTTTTTTAGCAGAAAAAGAGCCGAAAATCAATGCTTAGAGTTTCCTCCATTGCCAATCTTCTGTCTCCTTCAAAGTCTATCAAGAGAGAAAATGAATTTCAAGTAAGCAACTAAGTTTTACATTCTGAGAAGATTTGAGTTCACCTGTCGGAATGTCAAGTGAACCTAAAAGTAATGCCTATCATAGCCCTCAATTATGATGGACTGTCTCTGTTCTGGTCAACATCAAAGATTGTGTTTTAGGGGTTAGACATAACATTGAATTTATAAATGTCTGTATCTATATTTCAGAGATCAATCAGCTTTAAAGTTCCCCCATCCCCTGTTACCAAACACAATGTGACCCCTTACAAGGCCCCCCAGCCTTCCCCCGCAAAGCGGCGACTCAGTCGCACATGGAGTGAGATGATGAGTACTACAGAGGGACATATCCCCTCACAGCTGTCACACAGAGACATCAAAAGACAAGAGGTACATGTGATTAAATGCTAAAAACAGATGTAAGAGTTGGTGAAGATACATGTTTCTGAATCAGTCTTAGTAGTAAAGGATGTTTACTTATTTAAATTACTTATTCTATCTGTATTGGGAGAACTTGTATTTAGGGTATGTTTATGAAAAATCATTTTTATGCCCCACCTTGTAAAAATGTGAGGAAATTAAAAAGAATATTTGAGAAAAACAATAGTAGATGACATGTATACAAGATACAAAGGTTGCTTGGGGCCATGTGGTGCTTAGTGTCTTTTTAGTCCTTTTCACAGAAAGATCCCTGAAATAATGGCCACTTGGTACTGGGGAGCCTCAGTATGTAATCTTAGTTTTGCCTTGCACAATAAAAAAAAAAATTTTTAAATCTTTTCAAGCCGCAACAAAGTTCATTTTTGTGTTATTCTTGACGACAATACTAGTTATATTGACTAGGGGTGAAACGCTACGCCTTCTTCACGGTTTGATACGTATCGTAAAATTTGGTATTGGTTTGGTTATTCTCGATACGATACATTTTGATAGAAGGAAACAAATTCAACTGTTGTTTTACATGTTTTATGCTTCCTTTTACTTAATCTAGTCAAATAATTTATGTGCAAAATGTATAGAAAAAATCATTGTAATTGATTTGACTGGTAAAAATTATTTTACAAACTGCAAGTCCACAAAAATTAACGTTTTTTAGCTCACCTGAGCTGAAGGCTCAAGTGAGCTTTTCTGATCACATTTTGTCCGGCGTCCGTCTGTCTGTAAACTTTTCACATTTTCGACTTCTTCTCAAGAACCGCTGGGCCAATTTCAACCAAACTTGCCACAAAGCATCCTTGGGTGAAGGGGATTCAAATTTGTTCAAATTCATTCAAGGGGAGATAATTGGGAATTAATGAAAATTTGGTGGTATACTTTAAAAATCTTCTTCTCAAGAACCACTGTGCCAGGAAAGATGAAACTTATTGGGAAACATCCTTACGTAGTGTAGATTCAAGTTTGTTCAAATCATGACCCCCGGGGGTAGGGCGGGGCCACAATGGCCTACCAAAATTTTGCATTGAAATATATAGGAAAATTCTTTAAAAATCTTCTTCTGAAGAATAACAAAGCCATTTTGATCATATTTATATGGAAGCATCCTCAGGTAGTGTAGATTTAAGTTTGTTCAAATCATGACCCCCCATAGGGTAGGGCAGGGCCACAATGGTCGACAAAAGTTGTACATAAAAATATATAGGAAAATTCTTTAAAAATCTTCTTCTGAAGAATGACAAAGCCATAATTGATCATATTTATATGGAAGCATCCTCAGGTAGTGTAGATTCAAGTTTGTTCAAATCATGACCCCCGAGGGTAGGGCGGGGCCACAATGGCCGACCAAAGTTTTGCATAGAAATATATAGGAAAATTCTTTAAAAATCTTCTTCTCAAGAATAGCAAAGCCATAATCATATTTTTATGGAAGCATCCTCAGGTAGTGTAGATTAAATTTTGTTCAAATCATGGCCCCCGGGGGTAGGGTGAGGCCAAAATGGCCAACCAAAGTTTTACAAAGAAATATATAGGAAAATTCTTTAAAAATCTTCTTCTCAAGAATGGCAAAGCTATAATTGATCATATTTATATGGAAGCATCCTCAGGTAGTGTAGATTTAAGTTTGTTCAAATCATGACCCCCGGGGGTAGGGCAGGGCCACAATGGCCGACCAAAGTTTTGCATAGAAATATGTAGGAAAATTCTTTAAAAATCTTCTTTTGAAGAATAACAAAGCCATAATTGATCATATTTATATGAAAGCATCCTCAGGTAGTGTAGATTCAAGTTTGTTCAAATCATGACTCCCCGGGGTATAGCGGGGCCACAATGGCTGACCAAAGTTTTACAAAGAAATATATAGGAAAATTCTTTAAAAATCTTCTTCTCAAGAAAAGCAAAGTTATAATTGATCATATTTATATGGAAGCATCCTCAGGAAGTGTAGATTTAAGTTTGTTCAAATCATGACCCCCGGGGGTAGGGCAGGGTCACAATGGCCGACCAAAGTTTTGCATAGAAATATAGAGGAAAATTCTTTAAAAATCTTCTTCTGAAGAATAGCAGAGCCATGATTAGTCTTGGGACTACTTTTGGATTAAACTTTTCAATAATAAACTAATTTCTACTTTTTCCTAGCCACAGTGCTCAGGTGAGCGGTGTGGCCCATGGGCCTCTTGTTTAACTAATTATACTGAGAAGCATGTTTATACCTTATCCCAAACCCGACTGAATGACGATCCCGACCCAATAACAAATCAAACCGAAAATAGAGATTTTTTACCGTGTATCGAACTGAGAAAAAATAACGAGGTGAAACCGTTTCACTCCTAATATTGACAACGTAAATTTCACAGACAGGAAAGAAGGGTTCATTGTCAATTTATTTATACAAGATATGAAGAAGAATTATGATCTACAAAAATGGGGATCTGGTTCTGTAGCCAAACTACTTTGTCATCTGAGTTCAGTGATTCCTTTGTGTTTCAGGCAATATATGAGCTGTATCAGGGTGAAAATGATCTGGTTGAAGACTTGACCATCGTAAAAAAGGTGAGGTGTTTCTTAATAGCTGAAATAAATCAACAGATACAGAATTGATTAACTCTCTTACTCCTTATTATCCCCCCCACTCTGAAGGAGAGGGGGGTATACTGTTTTACCCTTGTGTGTCTGTGTGTGTGTGTGTCTGTCCGTAACAAATTTTCAATCACAGTTTTCTAAGCAACTACTCATCGCAGATGCTTGAAATTTTAACACAATCTTTTCTAAGGCATTCCATATGTGGGATTCATTTTTGCTCAAATCTGATGTCAACTTCCTGTTGATCTGTGCGTCTGTTTGTTTTATACATAACAAATTTTGGTCACAGTTTTCTGAGCAACTACTTATCGCAGATGCTTGAAATTTTAACACAATCTTCTCTGAGGCATGCCATATGGTGGGATTCATTTTTGTTTAAATCTGACATCAATTTCCTGTTTATCCGTGCATCTGTCCGTTTCATACATAACAAATTTTGGTCACAGTTTTTTCAGCAACTACTTATCACAGATACTTGAAATTCTAGCGCATCCTTAGTTGAGGCATGCCATATGGTTAGATTAATTTTTATACGAATCTGATGTCAACTTCCTATTTATCTGTACATCTGCCCATAACCGAACTTGTGTATATTAACATGATAGTGTATATTCACATCAGAGCGGGGGTATTCCTAGTGAGCACTGGCTCACAGATTTCTTGTTTTAATTAATTTTTAAACAGATGCTATGAATTACATAAAAAATGTATGACTTGATAGTTATTTGAGTTCATAGTACATATAGTATGGATCATATTCTGTGATGCAAGTCTGGATCCTATATATAATGGAATTATATAAGTACTATAATGCTGCTTCACATGTACAGTGGAATACTACTGCAGATGTCCTTCAAATATTTAAAAAGAATGCCAGCAAGGGCTTGCAGGTCATAGCTACAAGTATTGATAGTATGACATGTATTTTGAAATATGGTAACAAATTTTTTTTTTATAGACATACCGGGATTCTATGGAGAAGTTACAACTAATGACAGCTTGGGAACTAAGCCAGATATTTGGTCCCATTGACATGCTTATTCCTATTCATGAAGGTAATAGACTGATTAAAAAAAAGTGATACCTTTCATTTTTACCCTAGGACTTAAGTTGTGCTGGTTACTACCGGTAAAAATTTTACTGACAAGAAGTTTATGTTGTTGGCCAGAAGTTGTTAAAGACAGATCTGTTGTTTTCTTTTGTCTTCAGAGCTTGCATGTGGTCTACAGAACCAGAGACTACCAGATGGGACGACCCGAGATGTGGGAGCTCTCTTGGTGGAGTGGGTAAGATCATTATCATGTGACTACTGTACCACAAAAAATATTGTAGTGTGTATTTAAACAAAAGATCCCTACAATAATCAATAGATGGAATTTTTAACCAATCAAAGAGAAACATTCTGTTTCTAAAAACAGAGGTAATCTTGCACAAAATTTGAAAAGCACAAGTCTATCAAGTATTCCATTCTTCCGTATTTACACTTTGTTAAATGTATTTTGATTTACTTTATTTCATGATTACAGTCAAAATTGTCATAGCGGTCACCTCTATCCAGCGGTCACTTGTCCTATGGCGTTATTTTATTTCCTCCCAATGAAATTTCCTATGTAAAGTAACTCTGTTAAGCGGTCACCTGCGTAACGCGGTCATCAGTCATCAATTTTCAAACAAAATCGCCACTTTTCCCTTCTTTAGTGGCCATTTGGTCCAATCACGTGACCTGATCTAGAGTCAGTTGACTCCCAAATTTTGTTACTAATGTATATAATTGGTCAAGCGTAGCGGGATAATGAACAAAAATTGATAAATGGATTTTATTTAATACCAATTATATTACTCGATAAGCATATGAATTACTTTACAAACTAACTGCTTCTATATTTTACAAAACTCGAACAACGATGCTGATGGCGAAAAAGTTTACAAGAAAAAAAGAATATCGATAACTGATTATGAGGGTCTTAACTTCTGGATTTTGAGTCAAGTTTAAAAAAAGAACAAAGTAACTATATTCATCTATTAATGGATATGATATTTTTGTTTACCATGCATTTACAGAGTATAAATTAGTTACGATATCGCATGCCCAACTCAGAGAGCTGTAACGTAATTTTTTTTATTATATACCCATCAATTTCCTTGTTTTTGTTACTGTTAATTTTACAGAGTTTGATCCGCTTTTCCGGATCACCACACTGTGGTTTTCTGAATCCATATCGCCACTCTCTGAAACTGATGACGTAGTACGCAAAAACATGACGTTATTTTTCTTGCGCGTTAAAAAGTCCCTTGTTATTATGCTTTGTTTTATGGATAAATGTTATACAATTGATCTCTAAAGTTTTATTCTGCTATATTTAGCTAGTTATAAGGGGGTATATAATAAATTTATCATTATAACAGTAACTTGATCCGAAGAGCCGTATCACGTCTCGTTGACAGGCGCGGATCATCAGATCAAACTCGACGCTTCACGTCCCGTTAGATCTGATGATCCGTGCCTGTCAACTCGACGTGATACGACCCTTTGGATCAAGTTACTGTTATAATAATATATATTTATACATGAAAGGCATTTTAATTATCACACCTAGGAAACTTGCATCGTTTGTAGAAGCCATAATTACGGTTTATATACACATTGTAGCTTGAGTATGTTGTGAATTTTACAAAGGAAAACGACAGTTAGGGATTAGTAATGCTTCATTGCTTAGGACACGTGTGCACCTCTTTGATCAACTGAGAGTACGTCTGACAGTGACTTGTCTGTTTAATATACAACAATTAATGTACATGTATTTAAAAAGATACATGAATAGAGGTTAATTTTTATGAATCAAGTTTAGATGAACATGATAAGTTTAGATAAAATATTCATTTCTTACACTAGAAAAAAAATCTGTGTTGTTTTGATGGGGGATTATGCAACACCCTGTATTTTTCAATATAGAGGTATTTTATTAATTTTCTTGAATTCATAAAATTTAGTTTGAATTCATTCAAAAAAAGTCATGCATCTGCGGAATAAAAAAAATAAGTGAGATCACTAAAGTCCAATACATAATTTTCTTGTGTATTTTGTAGTGAAATACATAATATAAACACAAAACTGACATATTTATATATAAATTCCTTTAAAAAAGACGAACCTCTATCCAAAGGTCACCTCTCTATAAAGGTCACTTTTGATGGATCCCATAGGTGACTGCTTAATACAGTTTGACTGTAATTTGTTTTTCTTAGACTTGTTATTTCTCTTGTGTTTAAAGAATCATGTAGAATTTTTTAAGTATAGGTAAAGATAAAAATTTGCTCAAAAGTGGAGGAGCAAACCTCTTTAAGTAGAACTTCTCTTTTTCTATACAGGTACAGAAACTAAAGGAGTATGTTCCATTCTGTGCCAATCAGGTGTTTGGAAAGGCTATGTTGGACGAGAAGAAGAACGATCCAGCGGTAGATGATTTCCTACAGAGGTGCCAGGATTCTCCTTTCAGTCGCAAACTTGACCTGTGGACTTTGTTAGGTAATATTTTATAAATGTTTCTGATCTGGATCCGAAAATAAAAAAAAAATGTTTCAAAAGTAGTTCACAGGAGCCAGAGTTTAGCTCTTCTCATTGAAGTTTATCTGTTGTCTTTTTATACGCCCGTCTTAAGACGGGACGTATTATGTTATAGGCTTCGTGTCTGTCCGTCCATCTGTCCGTCTGTTAGCTTTTCTCGTGTCCGACTCATAACTTTAATACTATAAGGCCTAGAGTTATCAAACTTTGTCAGCTGATGCATCTTGGGTAGAAGGTGTGTCGCACACAAAAAGTAGGTCACTCTGACCTATAATTAAAAAGTTATAGCCAAATATGGAAAAATCCTTTCCGGTCCATAACTAGAAAACTATTAGACTTAGAATCATCAAACTTGGCCAGTTTATGCATCTTAGTTAGAAGGTGTGTCACGACCTATTTCAAGGTCACTGTGACCTTTAATTTAAGTGAATTTCAGAGTTGTGGAAAACTTTTTCAGAAAGCCGGTCTTTTGGACCGGCAAGAAAACAAAATAAGCCGGTCCGAAGTGATTTTTGTCGGTCCGAAATAGTAAGTCGCAAAAGGAATTAGATTAACCTAGAAAATGTGTCTAAAAATTCTTTGCATCGATAATCTGATAATAAAGATATCAACACGATCGGTGAAAAAACGAAAACACTGGACAGTCGGAAGTACTAGATTTACTGCTTTTTCCACCTGTGCTTGAATTTTTTCTTTTGAAATTTTTCATATTTAGCTCATCTTTATCTCAAGTTTTTCTTGAATATGTTTTCTACCTAACTCTGCCCCAGTTGTAAATTTAATAGGTCACGAGAACCATGCTAGTTTCGCTTTCATTTACAGCCTCGATCTCGTTTAAAGAAAAGATATTACGCAATCGCATATAAGGTACGATAACTAAGATGGGAAATGCACAAAAACAAAAAAAAACTTTATCCAAAAAATGGGATCGGTCATTTGGACCGACATTGATAGCATTTTTACCGGTCATGCGAATTTTTTGTCGGTTTTGCCGGCATGACCGACAGTTTTCCACAACTCTGGAATTTTTTTTTAAATTTGTCTTTTTTTCTTTTCATTTACACACTCCAAAAAATGTAAGAGTATTGCACTATCCTTATTAAAAAAAAGGTTAAATCAAGAAAATACTTATTTTTTCAGCATATACTTGACAGCAATCTATAACAAATATAATGTATATTAGAGAAGTTTCACCACTCCCATGAGTGTAATTATCAAGCACTGGTCAAGAAGAATTTTGATAACAGAAAATTGCACGTCAAATTAGAGAGAGAAATTAATGAGTTTAGTGTGAGGAGTAGCTGGTAGAGCATTGGTGCTATCTATATCCCCTGGGAATTGGGCAAATGGGGTTAGCCTGTTGGATTAAAAATAGCTCTTGTTGGCTAGCCTACGTTTTAAAATGAATTTGATGAAAAGTAATTAAAACTAATTTGATATTGCATATTAACTATTTTGATATTACATAATATTATGAACTTAAAAACTAATTTTATGGGGGTGGGGGTGGAATCAGCATGTCCATATGAATTGCATATTAAAACCTGTCTGACATTAAATCTAAAAAAATCATTGATGTTTTATATGTTTTAAATATGTTTTATGGTAGATAGTGCAGATCCAATAATCTCTTGGGAGTAATGAGTAGACAAGCATCCAGTTAAAGATTAATTAATGTGTTCAATGTAGGAAGGCTAGCTGTCTCAATCATTTCTTCAGAGCATCAGTCGTATCTGTATCCTTTGGGAATTAGACAGAACTGTTGGTCAGTTTATATTTGATGGCCAGCCTTTTATTTTCAAAATTAATTAGGTATATAAGTTGTTAAGACTAATTTGATATTGTTTAATATGATGGGCATTTGGCAAGGTCTAACACAACCAGTATAGAAATCTATGAATGATGCAATATTTGTTATGATTAATGACTACACCACAGGAGATGGATAAAAAAATATTTTAAGGAGTGGAAAAATCATGGAAATCTTAAAATCAAGGTTGACATGATTTTTTTGCACTTTAAACTGTTTAAGATAATTGTAATTTTTTGACGGGCGTATCATGCTGTGGCGTGGCACTTTATTCATCATTGTTTCAGCAGTCTCCATAACCACTGAACCTATTTCAACCAAACTTGTCACAGAATGGGTGAAGGAGATCTAAGTTCCCGTAATTCTAATCAACATTTTATTTTTATAACAGTAACTTGATCCAAAGAGTCAGATCACATCGAGTTGACAAGTGAGAATCATCAGATCAAATGAGATGCGAAGCATTGAGATTAATCTCGTGATCTGTGACTTCTAAAGAGACGTAATGTGGGTTTTGAGATCAAATTACTCATATATATATTTATTTTATACCCTTTCAATTAGCAAAATATGATAAGGAGAAAAAAATTATATATTAATTATGTAACTTTATCCGTTAAAGAAGATATATTTATTTTATACCCCTTTCAATTGGCAAAATGTAATTAAAGGAAAAAAAAATTGATAATTATATAACTTTATCCATTAAAGAAAGTATTTTTTATGGAACTTTCTTATATGCAATAATGCAAGGAATGTTAAGTATGTTCAACATTGTCAGTTTTAGAGAGGGGAGATATGGCTTTAGAAAACCACAGTGGTGATCCAGAAAGATGAATCACACCATCAAAATCAACAATAAAATAGAGTGATTCACAGATCTTTGGGTATTAGTAAATTTATATTAAATATTATAACAGTAACTTGATTTAAACAGTCATATCACGTCAAGTTAACAGGCGCAGATCGCTGCTTGTTTGATCTGATTATCTATGCCTGTCAATGACGACAATGAGACATGATACAACTTTTCAGATCAAGTGATTGTTATAAAGATAAATTTATTATATACCCCTCTACAATTAGCAAATGAAATATTTGAAAATTTCTATGAGCAATTATACATGTATATCTTGAATCCATTAAACAAAGCATTTTTTCAAGGAACATTTTGCTACGCAAGAAAAAAAATGTCTCGTATACTTTTAAATACATCATCAGTTACAGAGAGTGGTGATATGCAGAAAACCACCGTGCCATGATCCAGAAAGTTGGATCACAATGTCACATGATTGTGTAATTCAACAGTAGAATTAAGTGATGCACAGTTAGGTATAGAATAAAAGGTCTCACAGTATTCCTTTCTTAGGGAAGATATGGTAAGGATAAAAAATAGAGTTGGCTCATTTAAAAAAATTTTGAAGAGGCAATGTGTCAGAAAATTTAAAATGAAACTTCTGTTAAAGCTCTCCTATCTTTATATGTTAACTTTTTGTACAGTACACTGCTTAACATTTCAGATGGTGCCAGAGGGAAGTTTATGAAATATCCTTTATTGCTGAAAGCCATTCACAAATATGTAAGTGTTTATATTTTAATATTTACATTCAGTGTAATTTTCCTTATGAAATCCATTAGAAATCCACGACATTCAAATCTCTATACACACGCGAAACCTTGTCACCGTGCGTTAGAATACACAGTAGGAACTAGATGCATTTTCAATACTCTGGGAACACAAAAATGTAAAATGTTTTATTTCAATTTAATGAAAAACTATAACCCTGAAAAATTAACGTAAAAATTAACGTAATGTGCGTTAAGAATTAATTTGTCAATTTTTTCCTCGCAATGTTTGTTTGCGTTATTTAACTTTGCAGCGTCATTTAACGTCATTTGACGTCACAAATGGCTCTTACATCTATTAACCACAGCAGTTTTGAAGGGTGCTAAATTCACATTTAGGATTAATGAAATAAGCAATTATGAAGAAGGAAAATTAGAGAATGTAAATATAAGCATTAAATTCATATTTTGGGATGTCTTCGGTGCTATAAAACACCTGGGCGTGCCGACAAATCATAATACCGCGCTAACGCGTGGTATTCAATTTGTCGGCACGGCCAGGTGTGTTATAGGACCGAATACATCCCAAAACATGAATTCAATGCTTAATTAATTCAGTAAAATCTTGAATATTAAACAAATGCTGCAGCAACTCATAGAGAACAGCAGAACCAAGATTGGTCATATTAATATATGGAAGCATCGTCATGGTAGTGTTGATTCAGATTTGTTCAAATCATCACTCCTGTATTGTAGATAATTTGTTCACTGAAAATATCCTCTGTATTAAATGATTAATGTCTTCATGTTTTAATCTAATTAACAGACATGTGACACAGATGAGGATAAAGAATATCTACAAGAATCGGTAAGATATAAAACTTCACAAAAAAAAATTACATTTAAGGACAGATTATACAAACAAAGGAATGGATGTCTGTATTGGTATATACTTTTATGCTTTGTAATCAAAGATTTGGGGGTACATATTTTTTGCTCTGTCTGTCTGCAAAAATTTTAACCTTGCCCAAAGCTTTTGAGTTGGTAGAGCTATGGCTTTCATATTTCACATGTATATTTCTTGTGACAAGACCTTTCTTTGGGTGCCACCAAATTTGACCTCTTGACCTTGGATTTTGACCCACTTTTACAAAAGATTACCCAACTTTAACCTTTGCCATAACCATTGAGTAGTTGGTGCTAGGGCTTTCATGCTTCATTTGTGTAATCATTGTGACAAGACCTTCAAATGATATACCCGGTGTAGCATAATATTTTGATACCGCGATATATTGAACCCGGGTTCAAAATATCGCATAATATTTTGAACCCGGGTTCACTTTTTCGCTGCGTTATATTGAACCCCCTTATAAAATATTGAACCCCTACATTTTTCATTTCAGAGATAGGGGGTTCGAAATATTATGGCCATAAAATATCGAGTCCCCCACCCTTTTAATTTATAAGGGAGGGGGGTTCAAAATATTATGGCCATAAAATATCGAGTCCCCCACCCTTTTAATTTATAAGGGAGGGGGTTCAAAATATTATGGCCATAAAATATTGAGTCCCCCTGCCCATTTAATTTTACAGGGAGGGGGGTTCAAAATATTATGGCCATAAAATATCGAGTCCCTCTGCCCATTTAATTTATAAGGGAGGGGGGTTCAAAATATTAGGGCCATAAAATATCGAGTCCCCCTGCCCATTTAATTTTACGGGGAGGGGGTTCAAAATATTTAATCGTCATTATTTTTTTAATTCACCCACATACAATAAATTGCTAAAATAAGATAATGAATATTTTATGGCCATAATATTTTGAACCCCCTACCTCTGAAATTAAAAGGACAGGGGGGGGTCAATATTTTATGGCCATCATATTTTGAACCCCGGGTTCAATATTTTATAGGGGGGTTCAATATTTCGCAGCGATATTTTGAACCCGGGTTCAAAATATCGCGGGGTTCAATATATTATATGACACCGGTAAATATTTTTAACCTTGACCTAAGAGTTAGACCCACTTTAAAAAAAACTTGGCTATAACTTTTGAATAGTTATTACTAGAGCTTTTATATTTCACAGGTTTATTTCTTATGACTAGACCTTCCTTTGGATACCAACGATATTGACCTTGACCTTGGAGTTTGACCCACTTTTACAAAGAATTACCACACCTTAACGTTGGTCATGATTAAGCCAAGACTTTCATACTTCTCAGGTGTTTTCGTTGTGACAAGACCTGCATTTGAGAAGCTTCAGCTTTTAGCCATAATCTGCAATATGGGGGCATCAGTGTTTCCAAACACATCTTGTTTCTCATCTTTTTTTCACTTGGCTTAATATTTGAATCTAAATATGTAAATGTGTTCATTCCATTTTCATATTAAATTTTTTTGAAAATTTAAATTTATGTCATGAATTATTGTCTTTTAAAGATAAAGATTTCAGAGAAAATAATATCTGATGCAGACCAGAAAACCGGAGAAGCCAAGTGTAGATATTATGCTGGCAGGGTCTCCTTCCTGTATGAGGAGGAGGTAGGTGTCTACAAAATAACACACAAGTGTAGATATTACGTGGGCAGGGTCTCCTTCCTGTATGAGGAGGAGGTAGGTGTCTACAAAATAACATACAAGTGTAGATATTACGTGGGCAGGGTCTCCTTCCTGTATGAGGAGGAGGTAGGTGTCTACAAAATAACACACAAGTGTAGATATTACGTGGGCAGGGTCTCCTTCCTGTATGAGGAGGAGGTAGGTGTCTACAAAATAACATACAAGTGTAGGTATTATGCTGGCAGGATCTCCTTCCTGTATGAGGAAGAGGTAGGTGTCTACAAAATAACATACAAGTGTAGGTATTATGCTGGCAGGATCTCCTTCCTGTATGAGGAGGAGGTAGGTGTCTACAAAATAACATACAAGTGTAGGTATTATGCTGGCAGGGTCTCCTTCCTGTATGAGGAGGAGGTAGGTGTCTACAAAATAACACACAAGTGTAGATATTACGTGGGCAGGGTCTCCTTCCTGTATGAGGAGGAGGTAGGTGTCTACAAAATAACATACAAGTGAAGCAGGATCTCCTTCCTGTATGAGGAGGAGGTAGGTGTCTACAAAATAACATGAAACTACAGACTCTACAAAGCTTTACTCATGGTGACTCAAGTTGTAAATCAAATTTTCTATAATGCATTTTGAATTAATAGTTCTTATTTTCTTTTGAAGTGTCTTCACTGCAATTATTTGTATACAAAAATGTTGTAGAAGTGTGAGGCCCTGGACAAATCCACCATGCTTATTTGTAATGGCAGTTTGAAGAACAACAAAGGCAGTGTGAGTTTATAACATTATCTAAACAATAAATCTCTGCAGCTGATCTTGTGGTTATAGTGTACAGTTATGGAATGGGTACGAGGGAAATAGCAAATTTAGCAAATTTATGGTTCCCCGAAGGAGGAAACTATTTCCCGAGACGGCAAAGCCGCTGAGGGAAATAGTTTCCTGCCAAGGGGAACCATAAATTTGCTATTTCCTGAGTTCCCATTCAAAAACTGTTTTTTTTTTTATACCAAAACATTTTCTTATATACTAGATGTTCTGACATTTTTTTTTTAAACACTATAGAGGCATAATTACAAATGCATGCGGTTTAAAAAATTGTATGATACTTTATGCATCGTGTCCAGGAACATTATAATTATTTTTAAAATGTATTTCACTGACATTTCCAAGAATTACCGTTGTTATTTTTTACTAGAATTTAATATGATGTTGACATCGCATGTCAAAAATGTTTTGACGTCATGCATATAGTTACATTGCTAATAACATTACATCACAGAATTGAGATCCATTGAACACTCTGCCCACTGAACACTTTGATTGGTTAAAATTACTAATAAATATTCATGAGGGAGTAGTCCAAGGGAGTATCTCTGATTTTTCAGGGATTAGTCCTCAGATGAGGGAAATAGTCTCTTCTCAAGGAAATAGACAGTTTTATGGTATTAATTTTATAAAGAGTTATAACAGTAGATGTATAATAAATTCAATTATTATACCTCTGTGAATCTTTTCTGCATGAAATTATGACAAATATACATGCTAATTTTTCTGCACCTTATATTTACTCTCTTGGGGGACGATAAACTTCCTATTGCCCGCAGGCTCATAGCCAGTAAATAGGTATTTTTAAATATTTAACCATCCATTTTTCAGATCAAGGGCATTGAAAAATTGAATATTTTCTACATGATAATTGCTGTATGTAATGTATCTTGATTGTCAAGGTGATGATTGGTTTCATGTTTTATTTCAGAAACTTCACATATTCTTGTTTAACCAAGTTCTTGTTGTAACCCGTTTGGTTACTACTAATGGTCACCAGGGATACCAGGTGTACAGGCAGCCTATTCCTGTAGAGGATTTAGTGTTAGAAGACCTTAAAGATGGAGAGGTTAAAGTGGGGTCATTTAGGAGTGCTTTCGGATCTGGACAAACAGGTAGATATCTTTTTATTTTTGAATTTTTAAAAAAAAATACTTTTCTTGAAAATAACCTATGAACTCTGATAGAAACTGAAATTTTACATATTTTAAAAATATTTACATATTAAATTTTGAATTTGAAAGGTCAAAAGTGCTATGATTAAACTCTCCTAAATTATCTTGATTGCAGTAAAGAATATCTTCCGAGTGGGTTTTGTGGATGGCAACAAAGGTCAGTCTCACACACTGATTGCTGCAGATGAACATGATAAAAGGCAGTGGCTACAGTGTCTGAACAGCATATTAAAAACTGTGAAGAACCCAGCCAAGGAGCTGGAGGAGTACCTAGGACAGCGTCCTGATCCGGTGGGCCAGTCCTCGGAGTCAGACGGACTGTCGGAGACAGAGTTACAGCCCTTCCCTGAGGCAGATCTTCACTCCTTGTCTGAGGAAGAGAGCGATGACCTCATTTCTGACGGGTCACCAGGAGAAACCTCCAGAAAAACCAAAAGAAAGTCCTCAGGGAAGGAGAATGTGAAGATGACCAAAAGGGATTCCTTGTCCTCTTTGTCAAGTATCGCTTCCTCTTTGAGAAGTTCTACCTCCTCCATGAGGAATTCCAGATCTTCCCTCAGAAGTTCATCTTCCTCACTGAAGAGTTCCACCTCCTCTTTGAAATCAAAAAAGAGTTCCTCATTAAGGAAAGCTTTCAGGAAATCTAAATCAGACTTGAAATCAGTGAATGAGAAATAATTTTTTTCTACTTTGGATTGCCATTCTGATATTCTCAGCAATTAGCAAACATTTCTTTCATTTTAAAAAAGAATCTTGTGCCATCTTGGAAGCATTAATGTTCTTGACTTAGATTCCATGAAGGAATAATGAAGAGAGTAAATATACAAGTATGATGTACAAAGTACAAATACTGAATCTAAAGGCAGCATCTTTATATGTACCACAAAGGGTTGTTTTAATCATGTTGAAAAAAATCTTACTCAGTGATAGATCATTGTGTTCTCATTGGAGTGATATCAACATCACATCTTACAAATGTGTAGTGCTATGGATAATTGTAGATTTGGTTATACATGTCCACAGTCTCGGTCTAATTTGTACTGATTTCTGTATATATTGATTGTATTATAGTAACAGTCAGATCTAAAAATGTAGTATGCAAATTGTTATAAGTATACATAAAATCAATGCACTCCATCTTACTTAAAATTCTTGCATAAAAATTGAGAATTTTGACATTTTGTTGCAAATAATTTTGAATTTGTCAGGTCATGTTTTGCCATCTCAGAACTGTTTTAATCCCAACATAAATTACATAATGTCCCAGTATGTAAAGGGAAGTTTTACATATTCTTATATTTTTATATGAGGCTGTATCTCTATCACATCCATATTTTAAGCAGACAAAACCATTTTATGGCAACATATCAAAATGTGATACCAGGTACTTAATAAATCCATTATTTCAGTGAATACTTACTAGATTCCCCTTGCTTTATCTAATTCTTTTTTAATTTCTTTATATATTGGACTTTTTATGCATGTGGTGTAAATATATGTTCATCATCAATGTAGATTTTCCTTTCACTTCTTTTTTTATAATTTCTATTTTTTACTTCATGGCTGAGGAGTACCCCCACCCCAACACCACACAAAATTGTGTGATTCAATGAAAGTGTCAGGTACATGTACACAGACAGTAAGTTATTATGCCTATTGCTTTTCCAGTCCACCTGTGCAAAGGTTATACATGTAACAGTGTTTTTGTTATGCACCTAAATACATTTTTACTATTTTGATTATTATTTAAAGAGAAATTATTCATAACATTATTTTTTTCAAAACAGTTTTTGTTAAAGTTCTCTAAAAGTTAATAAAACATTGTAATGTAATTTGAATTCCTATGCATCAAAAATAAATAATAAAAAAAATTCAAGGTGTTGTTTTTGGGCTTAAAATTGTAACAGGATAGGAGAAAATGTATGGCTGGACCAGGAATTGAATCCAGGACCCCTGCATCACTAGTCAGGTGCTCTACCAACTGAGCTATCCAGGCCGATATCCACAGCCCAAACCATTACAAAATGTATACTTTAACTAGGTACATGTATATGTATTTCCTCACTATATTTTTAGAAAATGAGAAAAAATATAACACTAAAAAACCTGCTTATAATGAAGTGCCAGGAACAGACCATTTGGGTTCGTGATAAATGTAATTTGTATTATCAGTTTTCAAATACTACATTGTATGAATGTACGATGTGGGAAAAGCTTACACACAATCACCACTTGACAGACATTAGGGATTCTGGGCTATTCAGTAATAACTTGAGTTTTTGCTCAGGTGAGCTAACAGGCTGATAATTCTCAACATTGAAAGCACAGATTTGTTTTTCAAACCTAAATTAAATGAAAACACTCCAAATTAAGCTACATACTTATGCTATCTATATGTTCCAGCATTAAGATTTTGAATTCGTGAATAGCATTGAACTTCTCTTTTATTTCATATCACAAAGTCTTCTTGTACATTCAAAGAAGTGTTACAAAACATGAGACAACTGTACCCCTAAGATAATAATTGTTCAATTTCAAATGATGGACAAAGTCTGATAGTAGCTGGCCATGTTTTATTATAAAGGTACTTTGTATCACAAAAAACAAATTAATACTTGTATAATGGTGTGGTCCATGGCTAAATTCTCTATTAAAACATTTTTATAAAAGATGAAATTTTAAAATTTGTTTAATCTTATTTATTTAGCATAAAAGAGTATATCACATAAGAAGTAAAAATCAGAATCTGGTAATTAACATCATTCACATGAAGTTAACTCAACTTAAAAAGCACTGTAAACAAATGAAAACTGGAATGCAATAGGGTTCTATATCTTCAGTTCTTTAAATGGCAAGGGAAACTTTATTTGCAGATAGTAAATTGTTTCATCCTAGTATGTTTCAGGTAACTAACTTTAATAACTTGGATGTAAGATATGCCAGTGCAAAATTTGTACTTTGTAGGCTTGTGATATGTCAATTATTGAATGAAATAGAAATTTACAGTAATTGTATACCATAGATAAATTGTTCAAGGAGTTTTCTGGATAAAGATAAAATCTTAAAAGGAAATAGTGAATAGTAAGTAACTAGCATTTTAAACAAGGGTAAGCAACAACATTGGAAAATTTTAGTTCCTAACTACCTGTAATACTACTGAGTGTGTGTGCAACCTTTTTGTTTGATTTCATAAGTTAAATAGACTATCATAAATTTTAATCAAGAGTCCTCATTCTCTGTAGTCTGGAAGTCTGCCACACTGTCTGTTTTAGAGAGCAGTACGGAGTCGTCCCCGAGGATAGAACACAGCTCCTTTAGTCGGTTCTTCATGGTGGGCATTCCTGCCAGCTGGGTCTCCAATCTCTGTTTCTCCTCGTTCAGAGACAGACGCGTGTTCGTGTCCAGGGCCTCCATTCTCCAGCCCCCCTCCCCATCAAACTGCAGCAAGTGGGTGTGAAACTTCCTACAGTTACAACACAAAAACAATTCACAATATTACAATTTTGCTATTTCTGTCAATGTGAGAATATCATTAAATACTGCAATCTCAAGACAATCAAGGGACGTCATCATCTCTGTAAAGCTTCCATACATGTATTTCATCAGGGCATACAAATTAGTAGAGACTGTATTGATTATTCAATAAGTAAGAAAGTTTTATCTAGTGTAGTTTTAATTAAAAGTTCACAGCATTTTGCAATATGAAATGTCACTGATGATGTGACAATGGATAGGAGAAAACTTAGATCGGAAAAATTCCAAATTTATGTGGTCTATATAGTAACATTACAAGTAAATGAGCATAATTTTTTTCAAATCTTGAAAATTAGCATCCTTTTGTTAACTGATGCATGCAGTACCCACAATCCAAATCTAATCTATCATTCTGGGCTAAAAAAAATTTTTATTTAATGTTTTTATTAATTTTACAACATAAAAGTTAAGTTTCCTCCCAAGTAAAAGGTTAGATTACTGACCACAGAGATGGACGATGTGTGATGGTCAAGAGACATATCCCATGATCCTTCACTGCCTGATAAATCTTGCTTTCAACATCAATTGACACAGCACTGGTGCACTCATCCAACAAGGCAAACTGGGGCCTGTCATATTTTATTAAAAAAAACAATTCAGATTTCAATGAGTTAAATAGAAATACAAAAATAGAGAACTGAAATGTAATATAGGCTAACACTTACTTGTGATAGAAAATGCGGGCCATCCCCATTCGTTGTTTCTCGCCCCCCGATAGGACATCCTTCCAGTCACTCTTGGAGTCCCAGCCTAAATAACATACAACAAAGTGTGAAATATGATTCAATGGCATAGTATATTCTTACCATGTCATCTTTAATTCTATGTGTTATATGTAATTGAATTTTACAACTGCATTTCACAACTGAATTTCAATCTGTATTAAAGCCTAAAATCATAACTAAAACATTTATTTAATCAATATTCAATAAAACAGTGAAAAAAGTATATAATTTGATTGCAATTTCACATTATCTCCTTCATAACTGAAGAGTTTGAATAATTGTTGGACTTGTGTCAGACTTCAATAATGATCAATCCCCCCTGTTAATAAGGTTTAATTAGTGACTGTTTATGGATATATTGGGATGACCAGTCTCAAGGACAGGTAGGCAAACAAACCTATCTATAGACATACACATGTACACTGTTATCAATAATTTCTAAAATCCAGATGGTAAGGAACCAACAATAACTGGAATACACATCAGAAAAATAAGATGTATTCTGTATACAGATAAAAATGAAAGATCATCCATGCATGAAAGTGTTAAGACTTCTTGGCTACTAACATAAAGCAATTCATATTATTCAAGTCTCTTTGGCAAATTCTATTTCTGTCAACATGACACTTATTAATAATTGTGATTTATATCATATCAAATTTTAATTCCAATCCGTTCATGATTTTTAGTCAAATGTTTATATCTACAAGACTAAAAAATATAAAACAGATCACCAACACTTCATGAGAATGCAGCAGTAAATTTGATTGATTGACCTGTTTCGACCAGAGACCAGTGACCACCTTAAGGATCTCTACTGTATTAATTTGACATTACCTCCTTCCCTCTCTACAATCTGCTGTAGGCTGACCACCTTAAGGATCTCTACTGTATTAATTTGACATTACCTCCTTCCCTCTCTACAATCTGCTGTAAGTTGACCACCTTAAGAATCTCTACTGTATTAATTTGACATTACCTCCTTCCCTCTCTACAATCTGCTGTAGGCTGACCACCTTAAGGATCTCTACTGTATTAATTTGACATTGCTTCCTTCCCTCTCTACAATCTGCTGTAAGTTGACCACCTTAAGAATCTCTATTGTATTAATTTGACATTGCCTCCTTCCCTCTCTACAATTTGCTGTAGGCTGACCACCTTAAGGATCTCTACTGTATTAATTTGACATTGCCTCCTTCCCTCTCTACAATCTGCTGTAAGTTGACCACCTTAAGAATCTCTATTGTATTAATTTGACATTGCCTCCTTCCCTCTCTACAATCTGCTGTAGGCTGACCACTTTAAGGATCTATATTGTATTAATTTGACATTACCTCCTTCCCTCTCTCTACAATCTGTTGTAGGTTGACCACCTTAAGGATCTCTACTGTATATTAATTTGTCTTTAACTCCTTCCCTCTCTACAATCTGCTGTAGGTTGACCACCTTAAGGATCTCTATTGGTATTAATTTGTCTTTACCTCCTTCCCTCTCTACAATCTGTTGTAGGTTGACCACCTTAAGGATCTCTACTGTATTAATTTGACATTACCTCCTTCCCTCTCTACAATCTGCTGTAGGCTGACCACCTTAAGGATCTCTACTGTATTAATTTGACATTACCTCCTTCCCTCTCTACAATCTGCTGTAGATTGACCACCTTAAGGATCTCCTCTAAGTCTCTGTCTGTGTAACCCTTCTCCCTCATATCCTCGTGTGTGTCAGGGTAGATAACCTGGTCTCGGAACGTTCCCAGCGACATGTATGGTCTGAAATATGACATACATGTTTAAGTGGTGGATGAAATCTAAACCAGTTTGCTCCTGGTGTATTTCATTTTCTCAATCTAAAAATGAACTTATCTAAACATTGTTAATTCTGAATTCATTAATTGTTTACAAAGATTTTATTTTTAATAGGTAAATATTCAACAGAAATTGGTTCTACAGGAAAATACCAAAAGAAAACCATTATAAAGGCCTGTGTAAAAGGAAAAATGTTGTTCAAGATATGGAATTATGTAAATATTACATGTACATGAATGCATCAAACTATGCTCTGAAGCATACAATAGTTATAATGTAATATGATTTCCCTGTGAAAATATCATATATAATTGTATTAGTTTACATGCATATTCTCAGTATTTACATACTGTTATGTAAACTTCATTACCTTAGCTAGAAGACTGCTGTGGAAGACCAATTCATGTATAAAGACATGACATTTACCTGAGTCAACTTGGACCTAAGATTCTTCCAATATATATAAAAAATCTAATTTTAATCACAGGAAAAATTCCTACTCCATCATGGCCCCACTCTAGCCATTACTTGAGGATGACTGCATTTTTACATTAAAAATCACTATACATGTGCTGCTGTTCTTCAGAGGAAGATTTTTAAACATTCATTCCCGTAAATCTCAGTCAAGTAAAAATTCAATCCCCAATTTTCTGCCAACTCAACCCTGTGGACTGACTGGAACAAACTTTGTCTGCATTGAGATGACCTACTTTATTTTTTATTTCTAATCATGGCCATCCTACTCTTATTAAAACTCTTTTCCCTTCTATTGCCTCACTTTACCCCATGGTCCCAAGGTATGATCAAAATTAAATCTTCACTATGTCATACACTTTATTTTTTATCTTTTCTGGGTCAGTGCCTTATTAGAATTTTTTTTAATTTCTTAAATATCTCCATAAAAAAGAATGTGTGGACCATCATTTGATCATAATTGAATCCCCTTTCCCAAAGGATGCTTTTTGGCAACTTGAAGTTTGGTAATCTGCCCTTGTAATTCTTGAAAAGAATTTGAAAACTAATTTAATAAAGAGTTTACAGACCCAGGGACAGACAAACACCAGAATACACTGGATCAGAAAAAGTGATCTTTTAGCTGAGGTGAGCTGATAAGTAACTAGAAGTTTACCTCTGAGGGATGTAGAACATTTTACTTGGGGGAGGTTTGTACAGCTTTCCCTTGTACGCTGGCCACAGTCCACTGAGAATCCGAAACAAAGAGGATTTTCCACAGCCATTGGGTCCCGTAATCAGCAAATGCATGCCTGGCTCAATCTGTTAAAATATTAAACCAAATATATTATCTATTATGTGTACTATGAAATGCATACATGACAACAAAATGAAATATAAATCTATTACAATTAAATTTCGATTGAAATGCTAAAACTCTTTAGCTAAGCTAGTGGGCCTCTCTAAGTCACATTTTCCAAGCTACTCTTTAAAAAAACATTTCCTTCCATTACTCCTATGAAAAATGGTGGCTCCATGCTTTGGCCCCACCTTAACCCAAAGGGGCCATGGCTTGGTTTGAAGAGCCATGAAAACACCCATAATATAGATGCTTCAATATCAACATAAAATTAATAAGATTGTTTTACTGTTTTTGTAAGGATCAAATAAAACATTCCCTATATACATCATATCAATCTTCACTTGCTGAAGATGATTGTTAAATAAATGTTAAAGTCTGATCAATCATATGCTGGTCTTGAGCTGAAAATATTTAAAGATTTTTGAATGCTAAAATTTGACTCCTACTGCGGCCCAACTCAGCCCTGGGAGTCATCATTTTATCTTTGAATCTACACTAAAAGCATTCATGCACTTTTTCTTTTCTGTGTCTAGTGGTTTCTTCCCCTTAAAAGGCAATGCTCTTCATTTGAACAACTTGAATTTCCTCATACAAGGATATGCTGTGTGGCAAGTTTGGTTGGAATTTAAAAGTATTCTAGGGGTAAAAAATGTGAAATGTTTACAGATGACAGAGGGATGCTGGACTCCCTTCAATAAGATGAGCTCACTTGAGCCTTTTGCTCAGTTTAGCTTATTAATGACAGTTTTAAGAGAAGGGTCTTGGAGAGAGTCAGCAAACACAATAGTTGTTCAGAGCCTTAGAGAATATGTACCTTTAGTGTTAGACTGGACACTATGACATCTCCATTGGGTGTGATTATGGGTAGATCCTCAATGTCTATTGTTGCATCAGTGTCCATTACATTTCCTGTACCAATAAAGAGCATGTTTATACAATACTGAAGCTGAGCATTGTGTTAATGATATGTTTGCCATTATGTATGTACTACACATGGTGGTAAGAATTTACCCAAAATAGTTAATGTATGAAAATTGAAATTTTTTTTATACAGTATAAACCTTAGTTTCATGGAATCTATTGCTATTATTATCATTATAGATCCCACATAGTTGATATGCAAATGAGTAAAATAATACAATTTCTCCATATTATGGTATGCTTAATTAAGATACTATGAAGTAAGAGTTTTACTATAAACCAGGAATGTTTTTATGTTTTATGTAGAACATTCCTTTGATAAAAAATAATAATTTTGACAATCAAACCCCAGCTGGAAATGGTTGACAAAATGGATGAAAATAACTTTTTATGTAATATTTTTTTGCCAGAGTTATTTCAATGAGCAGGCAGGAATTCCAAACAATCAATAATTTTAATTTTGCCAAACTTAAAGTCAACAGCTGACAATATATATATACATAACCTACCCATGATTTCCATCGGCCCTGTTATCTTTGCATGTTTTGCCTTTCCAGGAACTGCCTTAGTTACCATGCTTCTTTCATACTTTCCTTTGTTAACATCTTCAAACACCTCAAACATTTCTGTGACCCTGGCTGTGTAGCCTGCCAGCTCAGTGATCTATTCAGAAGTCAATAATAGAAAATCAGAGACAAAAAAACACCAAACATGAGTATTTCTTTTCTCCAGATTGACACCCCTCCCCATGTTATACATGTTAGAATCTATTTTGCAGTGATACATGTACTGTGGAGGGCCAGTATAATAAGGCCAAAAAAATTAATTAATAGTTTCTCAGGCCAAAATGCAACAGGCAGGTTCTTTTCTTTTTGAAGCAGGTGTTATATATGTACTTTTTTTTTCATGTCAGTCATTCTCAATCAATGCTGCATTTTTTAATCCTGATGAGGCAGTGCCTGAGAAACTATCTATTAATTTTTTTTTGGCCTAAAACGTTTAATAAGTAAATTTGTCAAAAAGAATACTTTAAAACTAGTCTTATGCAGTCCAGTCCAATACGAAAAATCGTAATGTTACTAAAAATTGTAATATTACCAGACATCGTAACATTACAGAATATCGTAATATAATTCTTATATTACTATTTTTCGTAATATAGTTAAATTACGAAAACTTGTAATATAGCATGTTGTGAGAGACTATATTACGAGTTTTCGTAATGTAAGACAAACTTCAGCATTGAAAGAAACTGAATAATGTTAAGGAAAGTATGACGTCAGAAATACATTATGCCCCAATGGTACTAGTATCACGTGGTCATTTTGGTCAGTGACGTCTATCGAAAAGTATGAAAATGCAAGAAGAAAGTAACAATAGTAATGGGTGAGTGAAAATTTTGTATTATTATTCTTATATAAGAATTCTCCCAGGGATGGGAACAATTTTCGATAAAACTTCAATGTATCCTCAAACTTGTCACAGTGTTCTATAATCCCCGAATTCCCTATATTTTTCCCGAAGTCTACCCTAAAAATCAGACCCTCATCTCCAACAACGAGATGTTACGGGATATAACTTGTACAACTTTCACCAGGCTCTGACTCTGCATGTACTTGGATCAAATGAATCAAAACAAAGAAAATGGATGCATATCCACGATGATTTGATGAAACAAGAGACATATAATCTCTGATGAAACATAACAAGGAGGTTGTATCAGAAAAAAGGGAAGTAACTCTTAGAAGAGTTAGAAATTGCTTATATTACTAATTGTAGTAATATTACGATTTTTCGTATTGGACTGGACTGTTATACAAGCACTATTACTTCAGTGTCCTCTGAGCAACTGGTTTATTATTTTTTTTACCAGTGAAGCTGTAAAGGGTTACTCTCTTTCACTTACTCCCATTTAAACTTGTTTGAAAATTTAAAGCCATGGTATATAATGTTGACATTACGAGCTTACTTCTTTGTAAGAAGACATCATTCTTTCTATGGCATCAGCTGAGTTAATCAGCAAGTTTCTGGCGGTGGTGAAGACCTTAGTTCTCTCACTCACTCCTCCGTCTGGGTCGTCATCCACAGAAGTTCCTATCATTGTTACAATAATGATTACATTTCACAAATAGTAATGTGTTATATATATATCAGTGCACATTAATCAGACATCAAGAAAACTTAAACTAAGTCTATTTTCATTCACCTACCATCAGCTCTGATCCCACCACCTCTAGCAGACATGATTGGGATAGCCACCATGATGAGACCACTAGCACTCCAGCCATACTTCATTAAAAACTGCTCTAACATGATGTACCATAGCCTCTTCATGTAAATCAAGTTTGTTTGCCTGGCAAGAGCTCTGTATGCTTTTTCCAGTAAGCTTTGTTCAACCTATTCAAAACAATGAAAAGGATACTTATACCTATATACTATTTTCAAGTAAGCTTTGTTCAATCTATTCAAAATACTGCAAAGGATATTTATACCTTAACTTTTACATTTGAAAATTGTAAGATTTTGAATGTCTCATAAAAAGATTAACTTCGATATAATTATAAACTTAGATAAACATGATAAATAAAGATTACAAGCTAGGTTCACCTAGTCAGTAAATGTTATCTATAAGATAAGTAGAGTCTCACATAAGTGAATATCTCCTTGATGCTCAGTCATGCAAGTTTAGTCTTAAATGGTAGGATTCATAGCTTCTTAGGAATAGACCTACTGAAAATTCTTGTTTTGATCACCTGGAATAGATCAGATCATCAAGGATGGATGGATGCTACATCCAAAGAACGGCTAGTAAATTTGCATCTCTGTCAGAGATGCATCATCAAAGAAAGTTTGGTCTAAGTATGTCTTATAGTTACTTTAGAATGGAACTGTTCCAAAAGTTTGATCATGTCACTTATCCTAAAATTTTAGGCAAAATCCAGCAAATGGAACTTGTCTGTTAATGCCTATTCTTAAAAACATCATCCATGCAAATATGGTCTCAATAGGTTTATAATTAACTTGAAAATGGACTTGCTTTAAAAACATTTACCAAGTACCTAGGGTAACTTATCCAGAAAATATAGGTCAGATCCAGCATCCAAAGCATCTTTGATACTTGGTAGCATCAATTAAGAGATGCAACACTTATTGGGCTTCTATACATTTACTAACTTAGGAATGACCCCGCCCACAACACTAACATCTAGCCACTCATCCAGAAAAAATTGGGTCAGATCCAGCATCTGAAGCAAGTCTGGTAGTGTGATTACCTAAATACTTCACATATGCAGTTTTTTTTAGGTATAGTATATAATTACTTCGGAATGGACTTGTAAACTTTAACCAGGACACCTGTGCATGTATAACATTGCCTATGTTGGGGGCACAGCATAGGCTGAGTAGCTCATCTCGACTTTGTTGGAGTGAGCTATTACGATTTACGGTGAAATAATTACCTTATGTCCTCCATAAAAAGCAATTTCTTCTGCATTTGCGATGATTCTTGAGTGTATATATCTCAAATATCCTTTCCTGTCTGCCTCCTCAGCTACAAGCTTTCCAAACTTTGGAGAGACAGCCTTCAAAATTTGTGCAGTGATAATTGTTACTACGGTGGCAATGATAGTGGGCCATTTTGAACTAGCACCTCTACTACTGGCAAAGGAATACAGCGTAAAAGATATCAAGGCTACATCCAGCATGGGTTTCGTTAGGTGTGAATACAGGTGGGCCAAAGACTGGGTAAACATACTGATATCATCTGTCAGGCACTGGTCAGCATTGGCTAATCTGCTGTCCAGATTGCTGACACGGTAGTAAGTCTGATTAGAGAAGTACTGCTTGTAGGCATGATTGACTAGACGAGTTCTCAGCATCAAACCAAGTTTGCTTTCAAGGAATCGGATAAGACTATTAATAAACGTGGCAGGTATGGCAATTAGGAGCCATTGTGTTAACCTCATAAGAAAACTTCGCAAATCCCGTTTTACGATTGTCTGTACTATACGACCATCCAGTGTTGCCACATATATTGATAAGAAAGTTCTGGCAAACAATGTTCCAGTGTGAAGCACTAAAATCCCGAATTCTCTCGACCATACTGATGGTATAATTATTTTCAGTAAATACCGTAGTTGCTGGTAAAATATGCGATCAACGTTGTGAGAGGCACCTGATTTCTTTTCTGTAGAAGCATTTTTCTCTAGGTTATTTAACACAGTCTCTAGCTTTCGTGTTTTTCTTTTCCTTAAAATCCTCCACAACTGGGGCCAAAGTTTCTTCACACCATATGCAAATACGACACATGCTGTCGCAGTGGTTGCTAACTGTTTACGCGTTGGTTTGGTGAAGGTCATTTTTGCCTCCATTTTAGACACTTTCATTCTATTTTGAGGATTATAAAGACATTTTTTCTCACGCTAAATCTCACATCATATTGATTTTCGTCTGTCCTGTCATAATAGTGTCACGTGAGACGTCACTAAAATGACCTTTGAAACTGAAGAGTTCTTTCCGCTGTCAACATCCGTCGTCTGCAACGAACCGAAAATGAATTGGATGGGAGGAGCTCGCAGCCGTATAAAGCAACAAAGAGACAAGAAAATTCAAAAGGTTATATAAATGATAAGGAATATTTGAGGCTTAATTCGACTTCCCTAAAATAATCGTTATTTCTTCAATATTCTAACATTTACAGCCTAATAGTACAGATGAGACAAGCATATCGTATTGGTGGTGGTGGTCCGGAGCTGTCCCATCCTTTTTGAAAACATATTTTTTTAACTCACCTGAGCCGAAGGCTGAAGTGAGCTTTTCTGTTCAAAATTTGTCCGTTGTCTGTCGTCGTAGTCGTCGTTGTTGTCATTGTAAACTTTTCACATTTCCATCTTCTTCTCAAGAACCACTGGGTCAATTTCAACCAAACTTGGCACAAAGTATCCTTGGGTGAAGGGGATTTAAGATTGGTCAAATCAAGGGCCACGCCCTTATTCAAGGGGAGATAAATTTAGAAATGGTGCAAATTTGGTGGTATGTCTTAAAAACCTTCTGGTAGCTCAGTCGGTAGAGCGCTCGCTCCATGATCGGGAGGTCGTGAGTTCGTATCTCGGCCGCGACTGACCTAGTCGTTAAAATGGGTAGCAACTGTTCCTTCGCCATGCGCTTGAAGAGAAAGTTGCGGGTCCTTCGGATGAGACCTTAAAAACCGAGGCCCCGTGTCAGCGGCAGGCGTTGGCACGATAAAGATCCCTCACTGCTCAATGGCCCTGAGTGCCGAGTAAAGGTCAAAATTTGAAGCCCTTCACCGGCATACGGTGACGTCTCCATATGAGTGAAAAATTCTCGAGAGGGACGTTAAACAATATACAATCAATCAATCTCAAGAACCACTGTGCCAGGAAAGTTGAAACTTATAGGGAAGCATCCTCAGGTAGTGTAAATTCAAGTTTTTTTCAAATCATGACCCCTGGGGTATTGACGAGGCCACAATGGCCGGTCAAAGTTTTACATTAATGTAGGGAAATTCTTTAAAAATCTTTTTCTCAAGAATAGCAAAGGCATGAATGATCATATTTATATGGATTCATCCTCAGGTAGTGGAGATTCAGATTTGTTCAAATCATGACCCCTGGGGGTAGGACGAGGCTTCAATGGTGGATCAAAGTTTTACATTAAGAAAAATGGATTAAACTAGATGTTTTTGTCGTTCAACAAAAACGGAGGGCTTTTCGAGCCCTTAAAAATCATGAGCTTAAAAAGTTATATTGATATAAAACTCATAAGGTTCAATTTCAAAAGGTTCTTTTTAGATCAATACTGAATTGGAAACAACGAGTATCTTTGTCCATTAGCGTCTACTCAAAGAGACATAACTCTTTCATGATTATTTAAAACATACGAAAAGTACAGTTTTTCAATCAACTAAAACTCCTTTACGCGGTCAAAAAGTGACCCCACGGCCCATAATTTTTACATTGTATCCTTTAAGCTGAACCCAAAACCGAAAACAATTAAAAAATTGGTTGAGAAATAAAAAAAGTTACAGGGAAAAGTATGCTTTCAGGTTTGGCCTCTTAAAATCCTTTAATTTCAAGAATTTTACCTTAAATACCTTATGAGTTTGAAACAAGGTCATAGTTATTCTATACCTCGAATTTCACAAGATTTTGTTACCTTTAGAGAAAAGGTGAAATGCGTGATTTTAAATTTAACATAGAAACTCCCATAGACAATTTTCAAACACTTACATAACCGGAAGTAATTACTCTGTGTGTTCCAGAATTGAAACCTTAAGAGTGCCTGTACATACCAACAGTCATGCAAAGGGAGATAACTTGTACTCAATGTACTTAATGTGTTTTTCAGCTAATTCAAATTTCATAATTTCAGTCCTCTGAAACTCCTATAAGGGGTCAAAAAGTGACCCCACGGCCCATAGTTTTTACATTGTACTCTTTAAGCTGAACCCAAAACCGAAAACAATTTAAAAATCGGTTGAGAAATAAAAAAGTTATAGGGAAAAGTATGTTTTCAGGTTTGGCCCCTTAAATTCCCTTAATTTCAAGAATTTTACTTTAGATACCTAATGAGGTCGAAAGAAGGTCACAGTCATTTTATACCTCGAATTTCACAAGAATATCTTGATTAATTTTAGAAAAAACATGAAATGCGTGATTTCAGATTTAACATAGAAAGTCCCATAGACATTTTCGAAGATTCATAAAACCGGAAGTACAGCTTTGATTAACATGAAACTTACAAAGTGACTTGTATTAATCATTCTTAAGAATATTCTATGATCATTTTGCCTTTCCGATCATTCTTACTCATTTTTGAATTTTCATCCCCCCTTTTTCAATGTTTGAAGTCTTATATCTCGAAAAGTATCAGTGGTCAAAAATCACCTACGCTCACTTTTTTATAGAACTATGTCTCTTGAATTTATATCTAGAATTTGGGAGTCTAGACTTTTGAAATAAAAGAGATTTAAGATTCTTTAGAAATTTCAGTTTTCCTTTCGTAGAAACCGGAAGTGACTTAACCCCAAGTTTCTTTTGTTTCATATGAGACACATTAACACAAGCTATTTACTGGTTATAAAATAAAATACCTATTCTTAACAGTTCTCCTTAAACGCTGAGCAAAAGAATTGCTAAGAATAATAATAATAACTAGACCTTATTTTTGTTGTTCAACAAAAACGGAGGGCTTTTCGACGCCTAAAAATCAAGAGCTTTAAAAACTTACATGATATAAAACTCATAAGGTTCAATTTCACAAAAGTTTCTTTTAAGTTCTTTTAAATACTGAACTGAAAACATAACGATTCTTTTTGTCCATCATTTTCTACTCAAAGAGAAATAACTCTTTCATCAATATTTAAAACATATGAAAATGTATTTTTTTTCAATCCACTAAAACTCATATAAGGGGTCAAAAAGTGACCCCACGGGTAATATTTTTTAAACTGCACTCTTTATGCTTAATGCAAAACCAAAATAAGTTTAAAGATTGCTTGAAAAATAAAAAAGATATGGAGAAGAGGCTGTTTTCTGAATTGAACCCTAAAGCCCCTTCTATTTAAAGGATTTTTCTTTCCCTGACATTACCAACTGGAGACAATGATTGAGTCATTATTCATGTTAAATATCACGAGAATCGCTTGCTTCCCTTTTGATATATGGGACATTCTATGATTTCATATTTAACATAGAAATCTCCATAGGCAATTTTAAGGGCCTCATAAAACCGGAAGTACTCTTTATATGCATATCAAAATTGAAACATAGAGAGCATATTAGACTGCAAACAGGTTGACAAAGGGAGATAACTCTTGCATCTTTATTTTTAAAATTACTTAAAAATACATAAATTCAGGTCTCTACAACACCCATAAGGGATCAAAAAATGACCCCACGGTTCATTATTTTTAAATTGCCCTTGTTACGCTTAACTCAAAACCGAAATCAGTTTGAAGATCTATGGACAAATAAAAAAGTAATTAACAAAAAACTATTTTCTGTACTGACCCCTAAAATTCCTTTTATTTTAAGAATTTTTATTTTCATGACCTCAAGACCAGAAGAGCTTATGCGAAGTAATGCGTCCGTCATCCGTGAAATGTCTGTCTGTCTGTCTGTCTGTAATGTCTGTCCGTTTCAAATTTCATGTAAACAATTTTTCAAAACGCTACTCCTCCTACAGTTTTGGTCTGATTTTAATATAACTTGGCACACAAGTAGACTACACAAAGATACATAAAATAGTGCATCGGATTTTTATTTCGATGACCGGTGTTGCCATGGTTACTAAAAATAGAATTATCTGCGAAATTCCTTTAAAATGCTACTCCTCCTACAGTTTTGATCTGATTTCAATATAACTTGGCACACAAGTAAACTACACAAAGATACATAAAACAGTGCACCGGTTTTTGATTTCGATGAATGGTGTTGCCATGGTTACTAAAAATAGAACTTTCTGTGAAATTCCTTTAAAACGCTACTCCTTCTACAATTTTGATCTGATTTCAATATAACTTGGCACACAAGTAGACTACACTAAGATACATAAAATAGTGCATCAGATTTTTATTTCGATGACCGGTGTTGCCATTGTTACTAAAAATAGAATTTTCTGTGAAATTCCTTTAAAATGCTACTCCTCCTACAGTTTTGATCTGATTTCAATATAACTTGGCACACAAGTAAACTACACAAAGATACATAAAATAGTGCATCGGTTTTTGATTTCGATGAATGGTGTTGCCATGGTTACTAAAAATAGAATTTTCTGTGAAATTCCTTTAAAACGCTACTCCTCCTACATTTGATCTGATTTCAATATAACTTGGCACACAAGTAGACTACACTAAGATACATAAAATAGTGCATCAGATTTTTATTTCGATGACCGGTGTTGCCATGGTTACTAAAAATAGAATTTTCTGTGAAATTCCTTTAAAATGCTACTCCTCCTACAGTTTTGATCTGATTTCAATATAACTTGGCACACAAGTAGACTACACAAAGATACATAAAATAGTGCATCGGTTTTTGATTTCTATGAATGATGTTGCCATGGTTACTAAAAATAGAATTTTCTGTGAAATTCCTTTAAAACGCCACTCCTCCTACAATTTTGATTTGATTTCAATATAACTTGGCACACAAGTAGACTACACTAAGATACATAAAATAGTGCATCGGTTTTTGATTTCGATGAACAGTGTTGCCATGGTTACTAAAAATAGAATTTCCTGTGAAATTCCTTTAAAATGCTACTCCTCCTACAGTTTTGATCTGATTTCGATATAACTTGGCACAAAAGTAGACTACACAAAGATACATAAAATAGTGCGTCGGATTTTGATTTCGATGAACGATGTTGTCATGGTTACTAAAAATAGAATTTTTTGTGAAATTCCTTTAAAACATTACTCCTCCTACAATTTTGATCTGATTTCAATATGACTTGGCACACAAGTAGACTACATAAAGATACATAAAATAGTGCATCCATTTTTGATTTCAATGAATGGTGTTGTCATGGTTAATAAAAATAGAATTTTCTGTGAAATTCCTTTAAAACTCTACTCCTCCTATAATTTTGAT